ACGTGCAAAAACGACAATTGTGCTGCACATCTTACACATCGCCGCGAACGTCGCAGTTAGAACAATAATTCTGGGGCCATCAATCACGGATCACTAAACCGTCGGCGGTAAAAGCGTCGCCTATGGGCAAATCTGGGAGATTTTTTGCAGCTTCGCAGGCACGTGATATTTGAAGGCTTGACATGTTTGGTGTCTTATTTACACGACGTGACCCCGCCTTTTATATTTTACCCAAAAAATAAGTAATACATTTTCATAATGTAATATAGGGGGAAATGTTTTTTCCATACATTTCGGTGCACCTCTAATAATAATATTAATAATAATAAATGTGCACATCAAAGTGTCCTAAATCTCCTTTTCTATTAAAAGGGAAATATCAGGGTGTGTTTAGACCCCCCAATATTTTGCCGAAGCCCCTAAAAGTAAAAACATAAAAATATTGAATACAAATAAAATAAACATTTAAATGTTTATAAAAAAATAAAATTAAAATATTTTAAAAATTGTGAAAAAAAGTTAGAGCCGCGCCATCTATATACATATTGCGCTGCTGATGTGGTTATATAGACTGAACGGGAAGGTGACGGGGAAGATCTGAGTGATTTACTGACAGGAATCCTCGGTCCAGAACCAACCACAGAACACACGCTGAACATTCAAGGAGGATTCTCACCAAATTGGTCGATGCTTCTCAAGTATCCGATGAGAGTTCTTCCATCTCTGAGAAGGACAAGGTGTTTTTCTGCAAAAAAACCAAAAAAAAAAAACTTTATGCTATAAAAAATTTATTTTACAACTCCGATTAAAAAAACAAAAAAATACTTGTTCCTTCTGCTTCACATCCGCTTGCATTCATTCTATGCGCATATAGGCAAAAAAAACCGAACGTTCGTAATCTATTTTCTTTTTCAGGCCGAATTTGGAAAATAACACATTGTGGCCACTAGATGAAATAATTCCTGGGCTCCTCAGCTCCCTCTAGTGGTCATAATGTGGTATTTTCCGGATGTTGCATTCGACCTGAAGAGAAAATCTACTAAGAACGGTCGCCCCCCCCCCCCCCTATTCGTAAAGAACGAACGTTCACCAGGAGATTCGCAGGGCGACCAGCTCTGCAAATTGTTGATAACTAGACGTCTACAGACCAGGAAGTAAAGGGAAAAGTCCTGATAGCGATGGCAATAAAAAAGGGGGGGGGGAGGAGGTGGTAACTGTTCAATCTTCTTCAAAATAAATGAATAAAAAGAAAAGTTCTGGCTTTAAATATACTTTAGACTGCAAACCTGAAATGGTCAGTATTGTTTCCTGTACATAATGGATGCACAACGCATAATGGACGCCGCTCTTCACAGTCAAGGCATCCGATGCCTATAGTAGGTACCAAACCCAACCAGTACATGCCTGGACCCTTCTCTGCACCACCCTCCCCCGTCACACAGCATTGCTCACAGCAGACCATTACTGACATGTCTGCAATCAGAAAGCATGCCGGAAGCCAGTCCTACCCCATAGAGGTCTTATGCTGGGTTCCTGTGGTGCCAGACACATGGGGAAGGTGTATTCTTCATATGGATGTCCCCCACACTGGTCATTATAACCTGGACAATTAGTGTTCCAATACGCATCCCCCATTATCTAAGGCACGTCTGCAGGGCGGCACACGGACAGCGTGCTTCAGGGGACTATTAGATCCTTGGGCAGCATACAGACAGCGCGTGTCAGGGGACATTAGGGGTCTACTAGATCCTTGGACAACTCGCGTCTGTAGGGCGGCCCACGGACAGCGCGCTTCAGGGGACATTAGATCCTTCGACAGCGCATGTCTGCAGGGCGGCATAAGGACAGCGCATGTCTGCAGGGCGGCATAAGGACAGCGCATGTCAGGAGACATTAGGGGTGTATAAGATCCTTGGACAGCACGTGTGTCTCCAGGGCGGCATACGGACAGAGCATGTCAGGAGACATTAGGGGACTATTAGATCCTTGGACAGCGCGCGTCTGCAGGGCGGCATACGGACAGCACGCGTCAGGGGTCTATTAGATCCTTGCACAGCCAGCGTCTGCAGACCGGCATACAGACCGCTCGCGTCAGGGGACATTGGGTTCCTTGGAGAGCGCACGTCTGCAGGGCTGCATACGGACAGCGCGCGTCAGGGATCTATTAGATCCTTGGACAGCGCACGTCAGGGAACATTAGGGGTCTATGAGATCCTTGGACAGCATGCGTCTAAATGGCGGCACATGAATGCAGCATCTATGTACCTAGCAGCCGGCGGAGGGGATATGGCCGGCTAGATCACCAAGTCTTAGTACTGGCCCATTTCTGTGGCTTTGATGTCTAATACTAAGGCACATGAGGGAGCGCTTTATAATTTGCACCCCACCCACCCCCATCCCTTCCTTTCCCACCCTTCCCTCCACAGATACATAATGACCTCAATCCAAAGATCGTGCCCTCCAGTGCAGATTTACATCCAGTGCTGCAAGTCCCACTGTCCTGGCCCAATCTCCTCATTACAGCCACAGAGAATGCTATGTGGCCACACCCCAGGGTGGGAGACAAATAAACCGGCCCGGCTAACCTTTCTTCGGGCCCAGGACTAACAGAGGGTGTTGGCAGGCGGATTAGCAAACATTTGCTGATTGTTTCTGGGCTGAATGAACCCCCGGAAGCTTCTTCGTCACTTCCAATTCCTGAGCTGTGAGCTTCATTGCAGCACAAAAGTGACACTGTGGATCTAATAGACCCCTAATGTCCCCTTAAAGAGAACCCATCACCACTCATGTACTATCACATGCGAGTCCTCTATGGGACAGGAATAAAATAAAAAAAAAAAAAAAGGCCTCTACATAACTGTACATGCAGGGTGCTCCTACATAGAAAATGGCCACCACGCCACATATGTAACCCACAATAGAGAAGAAATGTGCTAGGGGTAAATCCAGCTCTAGGAGACAAACCCCACCCCCACTTTGGGGAGATTTGCTCTCAATTTCAGGACAGGAAGTGAAGGCAATTCTAATGGAGTAGAATCCTGACAGGCAACAATGTGCTAGATGTAAATCCAGCATCAAAACAGAACCCCCATCCTCACTTTGGGGAGATGTACTCTCACTTCCTATTGTGTTCTCAGGACAGGAAGTGAATTCTAATGGAGTACATACCTGGCAGGTTCCTACTTGATCCAAAGCTATGAAAGTGTCCCTGTCGGCCCACTAAGCAAATGAGAGATTATGAAAAGTGGGACAAAATTTGGTGCGGTTGCCTATGGCAACCAATCAGCTTCTCTCACTTTCAAAGCTGAAAGGAGCAAATGGAAGAGAGATGATTGGTTGCCATGGGCAACTGCTGCAGTTTTCATAGAGCCCCCTCACAGGGAGCTGACACAGGCCTCGGGGTCCCATAAACCAACACAAAGATATACATGAGGAGGTATACTGACTGTCTATGTCCTCTATGAGGCTTGCTGTGCCCGGCATATAATTCATTCTGCCTCCCGCCCCCCGCTAGGGGCGTCTCTTCACAAGGGACACCACGCAACACCGGCAACCGGAAATTCCGCCATCCTTCACAGGCGACTTCCGTCGGCACGGCAGTCTTTTAGAGGCGTAGCTCTAGAAACGGGTGACGTCACGCACCAGGGGGGCGCGGCCACGGGCAGCGTATATGAGCGTTGGTGGGTTACTTCTGTGGTGGGCGTTACCGGCGACATTATTGCTTTCCGATTGGCTGAGAGGAGATGTGGGGTTGGCCAAGTACAATGGATGAAGTGAGCGAGCATGCGCGTGCGTTGGTTTTCTGCCATTGGTGGGAAGGAATGCTGACGCAACAGGAAAGTTTTACTCCTAATTGGACGGGATTGTTATAAGGACAAGTGAGGGCGGGAACATCGGGGAAAAAGAATGACAGCTAAGTCTCCTTACTTCTCATTGGCCTTACAAACCTCTAGTGGGCGTGGTTGTCTACACGAGCTCGCGTCCTATTAGCTTTCTGAGCGGCGCGAGCTCTGTGATTGGCTGGCTCCCGGTTGCCCGTGTTAGGCTCCGCGCCTGCGCATTACGAGTGTGTTTGCGCGGCTGTGTGTGTCCGGTTAGTTCCATGTCTGCCGCGCACAGAGCCGGGGATGGCGGTGGGTACTACCCGGGCGGGGAGGTGCTCGGCCGGCAGAGGCAGGAGGAAGGCTGGGGAGCCGGGTATTACCCTCCGGAGACTGGGAGAAGCTGGCCGGGAGGCGGGGAGATGGGAGGAGCCGGCGGAGCTCAGGTAAGGGGAATAGAGGGCAGGGAAGTGTGATCATCATACTCATCCTCTGACTCTCACTCATATGTGTGTGTGCCGGGTTCAGAACCACCGCCAAGTTTAATCACGTGTCATCTCCAACCCTCATCTTCACTGCTCACGTCTGTCATCTCCATCCTATCTTCACTGCTCACGTCTGTCATCTCCATCCTGTCCTCCTCTTCACTGCTCACGACTGTCATCTCCATCCTGTCCTCCTCTTCACTGCTCACGACTGTCATCTCCATCCTGTCCTCCTTCACTGCTCACGACTGTCATCTCCATCCTCATTTTCACTGCTCACGACTGTCCTCTCCATCCTCATCTTCACTGCTCACGACTGTCATCTCCATCCTCATCATCACTGCTTATGTCTGTCATCTCCATCCTGTCCCTGGAATGATTCGTGACCATTCTGACCCCCGCTGCAAATGCATCCTGCCCAGGATTGGCCACTCCTCCTAGACTGACATCCACCCATCAATGTATTGTGATATTTGCATAACTCCTCCCCTGAGCACACCCACTGCTGCTGTCAGTGCTGGGGGGTATTGGGGTAATTCCTCCCCTCCATTGTAGATGATAATACTCTGTTCTTCCAGTATAGGGAACCTGGGAGCTCCTCCCCCTGTGACAGCAACCTATCCTGGGCCCTGTCGCATGACAGAGGCAGTGACATCATCGCTCCCCTTAATGTCTGACATAGTCAGAAGGAGTGATGGAGGGGAGTGATGTCCGGGCGATGATGGAGGGGAGTGATGTCCGGGCGATGATGGAGGGGAGTGATGTCCGGGCGATGAGGGGGGGGAGTGATGTCCGGGCGATGGTGGTGGGGAGTGTTG